ACAAGATCAAGAAACAGAGGTAAGGTGATCTTTAAAAGTCAGCTGGTCATCAATCATGACACCCAAGTTTCTTTCTGCCTTTGATGGAGTCAGAGACAGGGATCCAGTCCAGAGATGAAACAGCAATGTCTGAAAACCTGAATACGATATGAAAGCACAGAGTTGAACTTTTGCATCAAGAAAAAGTCTAAAACCTTCTAATCAATGAATGTCTCAGTCATCAGACATTGAACAGATTCAGTTTAAATCATCAACATGTCAGTACCTCCCTTTCATCTGATTCTCTGCCTAAAGTTCTGTCTTCTCCCTAGCCCATTAAAGCAGAATTGACATAACAGGCTCTCTATTTTCCAAGTATTTTAAATAACAATTTAGCATGTTTCTCCATCTGGTGATCAGATGCTTCGGGAATGCCAAAGAGCCCAAAAAGCACCTTAATTAGAAAATTTGTTAGCAGCCTAGAGTTCGACAACACCCACCACCAGCTCGTTAGGTCTGTTAGTCATACCTGTTGTGCTGCTTGCCTAATTGTTGAGCTATGCACAGCAAATTTAAACTCACCAAACCAAAAGGTGGGGACAGCATCTTGTGACATATTGAAAACCAAAAAAATCTACCTAGACTTTGTTGGACATCTCCTGCTTTCATTATTCATACATGTCTCTGTAATGGCAGTTTAAGTGAATATTTCATCTCTTCATGCCTCTGCTTACTCTAGTCAAGATATTTTCTCCACCTGCTGCAAACTCAGGTTTAAAAAAATATATGCAACAAATTTATCAATTATAGATTTAAAAACACTTTTCTTTTACTTATTGAGATATTTTATTTTAGCTGCTTCATAGATAACCCTTTCCAACAACTCTTAATATGAACTTATACTAGCAAACTGTTATAGTACTACACTAAAAATAGCTTTGATGGCAGTGGCATAACTTTTTTGGCAGTGGACTTTGTCTTTAAGGTCAGTGCTCTCATTTGGTACATGGAAGTTCCTTTCTGCAGTCATATAAATACATTTGTGAACCAACCCAATGATAAGATAACTTTGTACAGCAAAGTAAGTTAATGTCATCATAACAGATGCCGACAACATCATTTTGTGAAATGTGCTATTTTTTTTTAACCATGCAAATGTTTTATTTTCATAAAATAATTCAAGATTTTTTATTTAAGGCTCATTTCAAATCTTCCTGCTGACAGCCGTTGTAGCTATAGTTGCCCCCATTGCTAAATGGCTCTAATGTTGCTTTAACAGATAAAAATATACTATAGAAATAGTGTATTGAAAAACATGTAGATTATTTTTTAATTTCACATCTTGTTAAACTGCAAATTAGTCCCAATAGAAAATTTAAGACATGCTTGCCATTTTTATTTTTATTTTAGGATATTCTAAAACAAACAAACGATTTCTGCACACTTGATCTCTGAAACCACTTATTAAGTGTGTGGTAAATTTTCTATTTGCGTCTTGTCTTTTTTTTGGCTTCCAATATCTTTACCAAGACATGTCAAGGTTGAGCAGCAAACCTTCTACAGCTAGAATTTTCTGAAGGAATAATAATTGAAGATAAACCAAAAACCAAACATGCACCAAGAGTTTCAACTAACTGCTATTTGCCAAGTTAAAATGCCCAGTCTAAAAATATTACAAATAAGGATTTTGTGAAACAATAATTATTTAAATTCACCTATTTCAGTCTAAATGTTCTGTTTGCACATAGTTTGCAAAGGATGCAATAAAAAAATATCACCTAAATTATATATTTACAATAAAGCCACAAATTTTGTATCTTGTTCATGCTATACCAAATGTTAACAAGCAAAACACAATAACTGAAGAGATCTATAAAACTGAATTCAGACAATACCTAAAGGGTGAAAGAATTGCACAGAATCATAGAAAAAGTAACTATTTGATCAATAAATACATGAATAAGGAGGCTGATGGCATATTCACAGCCCAAATAAAGCCATAAACCTTATTACTGCTCAGTACTAAGAGTCCTGTACAGGACTGGTTTGTAAATTCTTAAAAGATGTGCTTGCTGTCACTAAGACGTCACTTGCAGTTGGTAGAAAAAGCAAAGAAGAAGAAAAAAAATATTCTTTCCTTTGCTTGATCTGCTTTGACTTTATTATTTTTTTGCTCATGTTAAACCCATCTGTCCGCATTTCAAACGGTTTTTTTCCCTTATTTTATAAATCTATCAAGGAGACACATTAAAACCATAAAGCGGGCGGGCTGACTGCAGTGCTCCGTCACAACACACGGCTCAGCATCTTAGAAAACCTGTCCTGATTTATGTAGATCTCATATTAAAGTGGCGTGGTGAAGCGGGGCTCATGTATTATTCACATCAACAACCATGTGAGCAGGCCCCTGTGTGCTGTACGCGTGTGCCGCTTCTGCTGTACTGACTCATCACTGAGCGCTGCATTGATACAAGCAGAAAGAAAATGTGTGCAGCTGATAGACTGAAAACAAACAAGTAGGGTAGGGAATAGTAAAAATGAAGTAACACAGTAGGGAAGAGCAGAAGAAAGTCTGACGGTTGAAATTCATCTTAAAAACCTTTGGATAGACAGAAGCAGTGATGGATGTAGTGCTCTTTTTAAGTTTACTAAAGCTTGGCAACACACTAAAGTCATATGGGCCTTAAAGAAATGCACACGCTGCAATTTATACAATAAAATTGTGTCTCCGTTGGATTGAGCCAATCAGAATTGAATTAGTTTTGCTTACCTTGTATTTATTGCATTAGCTGTTTTCCTTCTAATTTTTTGTACGGTTTGCATGTTTGCCATTCAAGTAAAATCACTTTGCTTTACTTTTTTTTTTATATTAGAGGAAAAGAATGATTAATGAGTTTTGTGAAAGCAGATCTGTATTCTGTAGATTTCATGTAGTGTAAATATAGATTTAATGTCAGAGGGAAATCCAACAGTGGGTATTTCTTGACAGTCCCAAAAGAAACTAAGGCATATTTTTCAATACAGAATTTAGATAAAGTCATCCTCCGTATCAAGACTTAGTAAAGCAAAGCTATTAGAGGTGGTAAAAGGCAAATTCACAAAGCTTTTAAGCCCTGTAGATATGTGCAAACCAGATTTGACATGTCTGTGGCTCAGAAAATACAGGCCTTTAAATAAAAATGTGATCACTTTTAAAACAGGTGATATCAGGATACAATCTAAATATATGTTTTAGAGTAGTGCCAGAAAAAACAGCTTTCCTTGAATTAAAACAAAACAGGTCGATTAGACCGAATAAATCATTGAGAGCTGCTGAAAGCTGTGGTGCACCAAGGAAGCACCCCTCAACAGAACTAAATAATCCACTAAACATTTATTTCTATTTAGTTGAAATAAAAAAAAAGAACCTTTCTTTTTTTCTTTTTTTATTATATCACTGAATATTTGTAAAGACTACACTTATACAATCAAGTGCTTTGAATATAAGGGGATGCTTTGCATCCCTAATTAAATAAGGGAGTCAATCATTTTACATATTAAAACGCTCAGTATGCCACTGGTTTAGAAGTACAACTTGTGCTTTTTATGTTTGTTATATTCTTCATACATACAGCAAAACATGTATTCAAGCAAAAATATTAAAAGCATACTTCTGAAAATCATATACAGTATATATTGCTACATTTTCTTGGCTATCAAAATATTTTTTCATTTTTATCCAATCTAAAACTCAACAGTAACACATCATCTATTGAGCTGTCATTTTCACATCAACTTTAGAATATACCTATCATTAAGGTGTCCTTCAACAGCTTTCTAAGTACACTCCTGATAGACTGATCTGTGCTATTTTGCAGCTTGTAAAAAATACTCAGAGAAAGTATTGTTTAATTGAATTGAATCCAGTGTTTTTTTTTAACTAATCCACAAAAAATTAAAATGGAAAAGTGGTACATACTCCCCTCAATGCTTTTACAACGTTTTTAAGGTGGACAATTAAAAGCTGAAAAACAGAGACCCCTAATACAACCCTGCGGAGCTCTAGACATTTTTTTTCTCTCCACTGTTTCATAATAATTTCTGGTAAAAAAAAAAAAAAAGCAAAGGAATCATTGGTATAAAAAGCTATAGAACATTAAATAGCAAAGATTAGTCTATATTCCACATATAGACATGGCAAATGAGACCCCCCTCCATTAATCTTATAATAATAATAATAATAATACATTTTATTTAAAAAGGCACCTTTCTGGACACTCAAGGTCACCATACAAAAGCATAAAAACAGTGTCAAAAAAAATAAAAATAAAAACATTAAAAAAAAATACTGAGGCTGTGACAGTGAAATTGATATTTAAAGAGAATGACCAATCTTGAACAGATGGGTTTTGAGTTGCATTTTAAAATGGAGAATTGAGTCCGTGTTTCTAATTCGGGGTGGTAGAGAGTTCCAGAGGCGGGGGGCAGAGCGGCTGAATGCTCTGCTCCCCATGGTGGTGAGACGGGCGGAGGGGACAGACAGGTGCAAAGCAGACGATTATAGATTATATATGTCCAGAAAACTCAATAATATTTACTTAATGTTTATAAAATTATCCTATAAATGTAGCAAGGACATTCTTTAGGTATTTTTATTAAATCAAGTTTTAAAATGTGGAACCTGAAACCTGCAAATGTCCAAGAGAGCTACAGACCTCAGATCAGCACTCAACATCTAATTCATCATCCCAGGAAGTATAACTAGGCCAACTTAGATATTCAAGGCTCATGCTTTCATGTCATGTAGAATCATCAGAAAATGTAGGCTACTGAATGGATTAATGCCTGTAGTGTTGCGCAACTTGTATGTGCAGCAGCAGCTGTGGCTTTTAAGGCCCTTCAATGAAAAATGTATCATCTGTGTGAAAATAACATATAAATCTGTCCCATATTTTTGGCATCAGGTGATAGATCAAATAAAAAAAAAGTAGAACAGGAGTCAGAGGCTTTCAGAGGAAGAAAATACACAAAACATGACTTACAATGGTGAAGTTCATGACTTTGAGGATCCAGATGGTTAGAGCCAAGTTGATCAGGATCAGGATCATTAATAGCAGGACGAAGAAGTAAAGGCAGCGTTTCCTCCAGCCGTATATTCCCACTTTGTACACTTGTGGTTTCTCTGAACTCTGGACATTGTTCCTATGAGAGCACTGTTCCTGGGTCATCTGAGGAGAGACGGAGAATGAAGAATTATTAAGGGAACATGCCAGCGCTGGTGTGGATTACAAATGTCAGTATTTGTCCTCTGCTTATTTGGCACTGGTCTGGAATGACAGGTTTGTTTTACATAAAATACTGCAACTGAACCACGTTGCACTTGGAAAAACATACAATTTACGTGTATTTTATCACAGGCCTTCATCAGTTGCAAGAAACCCTGTTCCTTAAAGCTTTCCCAATTGCTCTATCAATTGTCTTCCTAATAGACCTTCACTGTAGTAGGTAGTTTCCCAGCAGGACAGTCTAGTCTAATTTAGTGACAAATATTTTCTCAGGATGTAAAATCAATAATTTCTATTTGGGAGCCTCTAAATGCCATTAAAAAAGAAGCAAAACAAGGTTAGTGGTTTCATTTACTCAGTTTGGTGAATATAAAGTTTGAACTGAAGTTTTGTTGTCAGTTATTAGGGTTTTCATTTCCATAATTTGTTATTTTTGTGGCAAATAACTAAACTCCTTTTTTCATCTCATAGAAAATACTTGTGGCTCAGCACTCCTGTTTAACTGTGTTTATTTTCTGAATGTTTACAACAGATTGCTATTGCTTTTTCCTTTTAACAGACCTGCTTCTGACCCAGCGCTTCAAAGTACATGTCTGCTGAAAGAAATTATTCATTGTTCTATTGCGTTAACTGTGACGCTTTTTTTCTTTCCTGATTGCTCTTTGCTATTTAGCTGTTATTACTCTCTTTGGCCAATTTTTCCAATCTGTTTTATTAATACATTTGACTTGAGTTGACAGTACATGGTATTCAGTTATAATCAGTATTACTGGCTTAGTATCCATATTTAGCTTCATCTCTTCCCTGGATGGTGCCAATAACAAAGCTGCTTATCACCTATAAAAAATGCCTTTTGACTCAGGTCCTCTATGTTTGCCCATTTCTTTAATGGATAAAAATATTTACAGAGCTCTTACTTCCCTTTATCTTAACTCCTTTTCTCTATCTGTTGAATCTATTCTTGAGTCCAGCATTTAGAGACATTGCTGAATTACTCAAAGCTTCTGTATCTAGCTGCATCTTACCCGTAATTTCCTGAATCAATTAATTTATGCTGCCATTTCTTATGTACACTTATTGTGGCAGAAAATACTCAAGGTTCAATGGGCTTGTGTTTTTTCACATGCCCCTCCTGCTTTTAGAACCCGATCTGTTTATGACAGTTAGCTGTTCCTACTGAGCCCAGTACTGATGGAGGCTTCCTTCTAAACGTATGATTGTACAGGAATTGACTCCACAATATGAAAAACAAATTGGAACAGACAGTCTGTTCCAATTTGCATGTTTTTAGAACAAAAACAAGGCTTTGTTGGGCTACTGTATAAAACCTGGAACTCAATGCTATTCCTGACATTTTGAACTGAAAAAGGTTCCTGGATGGGAAGCCAAACTTATTCAAACTTGGAAACAAAGTCCAGTAGATTGTCTTTAATTTTTTGGAATGACTATGACCTGGATAACTGAGAACCTTCACCAGCATACAGGAATTGAAACAATTTTCTTGAAATGATATTGGACCAAATTAATCTATGAAGAAATATATACTTATATATACATATATTTATATTATATAATTATATTAAGTTGGTTTGTTCGGCTTGTAACAAACCGCAAGATATAAAGGGCTCCTAATAGGTCCTTACACTACACTCAACAGAGCAAGAATGTGTCCTCTGCTCTCTGGGGATCGACCAATTAATCTAACAATTAAAAAATTATGGTTACACAAAAATATCTATCTATCTGCAGTATCTATCCATCATCTAACCATCCATCCATATCAATATCTATCTATCTATCTATATCTATATATATATATATATATATATATATAACATATATATATATATCAATAAATCTCCTTTGGTAAGTCACGGTCATTTTAAATGTGTGCCAGCTGCTTTTCTTTTCTAGAATCAATCTTGTTCCGTAACATTTTATTGGAGAAATACAATACACCTCATAATTGGAACATGACTTTGTTCGCATAGACAGATTAAAGGGTTAAAAAGGCCTGTCTTCCCATCCTGGACAGAATCATGCACCCTGCTTTAAGCCATTGTTGCATTAAGGTTTTGTCTGTTTGCATGCAGTGAACTCAGTTGCATGTAGTCATATGTTAAGCTTAACTGGAGCATGCCTTAATTAGGCTAGCCTTTCAGTACACCGTCAACAAGTAAGACCATTTACATCTAATTTGTTTCGGCCTAATGTACCATGTGTGCATGGTTTATTTAAACTAAAGAAAACCTGCCTTTGGACTCATTTGGCCTTTTGTTTTCGTAACCTTCCAGACATCCATCAAAGATTTACACGGAAACATCCAGCAGCACTTAAATCTGATAATAAAAAGGGAAGAGCTGAACAGAAGTGTAACCATAAACATTCCACTCACATACTCCAGTCCTCTCTGTTAAGCCAATGGCCTGCACCTCAGTTTTGGCACCATGACAGACAGTTTAGTTAGCAATCGCATTGACTGATTACCCAATAAGTGGTCTATAACTCTATTATAACCCCTCCGGCCCACTGATGTGCTGATAGTAGCGATTAATGATGATTCTAATTGTATGGCTGTGAGGACGATAAGGCATTGTTCACTTCCAGCACTGCTATAATAATGCCCTAATAACTCCGTGGAAAAATACAATTTACTGTCCAGCGCACTTTGCAGGGCAAGCCTCACACTTTCAAAGATAATCGTTTTTGACAGCCGCACGCATTACCCCAAACTAAAACAAATGGCAGAAGACTGGGCTACAGGGAAAAAGTGCTGAAAGCTGCAGGAGACACCAAAGCCGCAGTCAGCAAAACATCTTCGATCTGTAAAGGGAGTTTTTACTTTAGCTGATGCGAATGATACCATTAAAAATAGTCAAGAGCTAAGAGGGGTCAAAGAATACCTTAATGTCTAAGAGGAACTGCTTTACTTGATGAGATTGATTGACTTACATTGGAGAAATTGGGTCCCTAATTAATGATTTCCTTCAACAGATTTGTTTTATATTTTATTCACTAATTAGAAAAATGTTAAAAACCTCAACACTGAAAATATTTCTCATCTGTGCATTAATACCGCATTTATATAGCAATTCAGATTATGCAATATCATGAACAAATTCTGTGAAAAAAAGTTGTATTTACATCAATATACATTAATTTTCTTAATGGTCAGTTATGTTAAAAGTAGGAGAGCCAACTTTTAATACATGAAGTAGATGATGTGTTCGTGGCTAGTAGAAAACACACCTTAACTATAAGAAGATGTTTCAGAAGATATCTTGAGAGATGCATAGGGCTTAAAATATTTTCCAAAAAAAAAAAAAGGCATATTTTTTTTTGCTGTTCTGCATCACACAAACTTGGCAATAGGAAGAAATCTAGATAAACTGCTCAGCGTACACCTGGTAGCTGTTCAGCATTCAGGTGGCAATGAACCACTATGGAATTTGCTGGGAACCATTCCAATACCATTTGGGCACGATGGTCTCTCTGCGGTTCCTAACAAACTCTAGGATGGTTTGTTTGTTTTTGTCCATATGTTGTGATTACTGTGTTCACATCTGAAAGCACTGGTCACACTAAAGGAGAAGGTAGCAGACTTTTATATAAATTACCAAACACCTCAAGTGTGGAAACACCTTGATACCAGCGGTCAAGGACAATTTCACCAAGAACAGGATCAGGGTTCCAAAGCCAGAGAATCATCTTAGTGCCAAATCATTAGAAGAAAACTTCTCTCACGTAAATATAAGCTTTTTCTCCATTATGTAATGAGTATCAGTATTAAAGTGCAGGATTACACAGCAGTGATGTATATTGTAGTGTACATGCTTTGTAAGGAAAACCAAAACAAACTGACAATATTAGCCCTTTGATGAAACAATAAGACCCATCCCTCATTGGAGGTCAGTGGCTCAGCTGTACTGATAACAAGCAATAAACATTTTAACCACTTCAAATGAATTCGAACTTTATGAGAGTTAATTCTTTTCCAAGATATTGCTCATCTTAGAGTATGACGATAGCACACACCAGGGACATTTTCTCTGTGAATTACTGAATGTTCCAACTACTTTCATCTCCACAATCTGTTCTCCATGCATCCAAGTTTACTCATCAAAATGTAGGCATTTTATTATACTTTCATCCAGTGCATCTCAAACTGCTACAGGACTTCTGGTTTTCTGTTAAATCATTTCAGAGTGCAGAGAGTGCACATCAAAAATAATCAAAACCCCGAAAAAAGGGTTTCAAAGAATATATTCAAAATTATTTGTATTTTTTTATCATTAGGTGGCTGTTTTAAAGCCTGATTTCCTGTCCATGTTTCTATGGAGTAATCTTCCCAATCACCATAGCAACCAACAGGCTTGTCGTTTCTGCATTGGCCAATCATGAAGCAAAATACACCTTATTGTAGAAGCAGTCTTAAAGTTATTTATCTACTGATCAGCATTTCTAAGCTCTGAGTGTTGGATCTAATTAATTAATGTTTAATTAATTAACTTTAATATACTAATATATTAATGCCACCTGGTGGCAGTGAAGCACAGAGGTGTTTGTTCAGTAAATCTTTTATGTTACAGTACAGAGCTAATGACACTTATTATTAAAGCTTTGTGTTTTTATTTGTTATTGTTTTGTCTTAAATAAAATAAGCTCAGAATCAGGGTCTTTTAGTTCTCTGGTGCAAACCAAGCAACTCTCAATGCTTGGTTTGCATGTATTATTTTAGCTTTATTTATTTTGTAACACTTTTGTCTTTTAATTTCAGCAATGCAGCTGGTTTAAGATTAGTGATATCATCAAATACAAGTTTGAACTTTGACTAGGCCACTTTGAAGTGAATTTGCTCTCCTCTCATCTCGTTGACTTGAGTTTAATATCATGAACTAATCGTTAAACATTCCCTCAAGATTTTACCATGTCGTTTTACCATG